TATCACTCTTAGGAAGAAGGGTGATGAAATGGAGGCACCTTTATTAGAATAGAGACTGAGGGAGTGTGGTAAGTCTCCTAAACCCTTTTTCCTTTATACAATTCTACCCTTTGAGTCTAGATCTATACAGGAAGTTTCTGGTAGCCACTTTATTCAACAGGTATTTACTTAAGGTCGATTCCAGAGGAACAGAGTGTTTAAGATCTGACACAGATAAGTGTAAAACTTTTAAACCTCTTTTCAATTGTCTTCTTCAAAAGAATCAAAGTTATTTTGGCTATACAATTTTTTAAATTGGTGGTATACTGGGCTTCCTTTAAAAACTGTCTAAAATGCTAGGTGTTTTCATTACTCCCTGAACTTTTTTCTACCTCTACAATTTAGTCTGAAAATCACTGCAGTCCTGCTCTTTGCTCTGTAAGTCTTGAAATGGCCTTTGGACAAAAAACAATAAAATCTAATCTGAGTTAGGAGTTAGCAACTAGACCAGCAGGGACAAAGGACCATAAAACAAAAGAACTGGAGAGGAATATATAGACTGCAAGTTCCCATTCTAAGAATAATACTTTAAAGTCATGTGCCCCAAAAATGACACAAAAGGGGGCTTTTTCAAGGGAGATTGAAGAGCAAATATTTAAGGTCTAATCTTAATTACTTATTATTAAGAGTTTATTAAATGACATATTTGTTAAGATAAAGAGTTTATGATAATGACAAGGGAACTTCCACTTAGAAGTTCTTTCTTTCTTTTTTTAGTTGTAGATGAACACAATAAATTTATTTATTTTTTTAATGTGGTGCTGAGGCTCAAACCCAGTGCCTCACACATGCTAGGCAAGCGCTCTACCACTGAGCCACAACCCCAGTCCTAGAAGTTATTTCTTTAACCTTTGCTCCTTTTTGGACAATATTTTACTTATGATAGGAGAGTAAAAGTTAAGCTACTAGAGATAAATCAATATGTTTGGTTAAAAAAAATTAAACAGCACTCGTGAGACAGGTCATAAATTTTACTTTTGCCCCCAAATGCTTTGTTTGGGTACAGAAGCTATCTTGGGCCTGGAAAGAAAGTATGGAAACGCTGCCATCCCCTAGTGGCAGTCATGAGAAATGCAACCACAGAACCAAGGAGCAGCTCAGTATCTTAAGAAGTATTTTGTAGCCCTTGACAATTCTCGGAGGGGGTGGGGGGGGAATGGGCCTGTCAGGACCACTTCTCAGATTCACTTTGATATTTGTTACTTTTTTGTGATGCTTCCAATAAACTATAAATACTCCTTCTGTCTTAATTCAGTAATATCTTAACCAAGTCTGCAAAGATAAAATCTGGTTTCTGTCCTCCATCGCTTTGCAAGACAAAGGTTTACAGTTCATAAGCAACAATTTCTGAGAACCCAGTGAGCTTCATGTATCAACAGTTCAGATAAGTATGTGAGTTCATGGCTGGTTCCTGGGAAAGAGCATACATCAGCATAAAGGATTACTATGTGGATACAAAGTTTACTAGAACAAAGAAATATAGCTGCTATCCCTTACTGAAATTAAAATTATCAGGTAAC